GCTGTTTTTTTTTTCAGGGAAGCGGGCCACAACGCGGTACATAGGCAGATGGGGACAAAGCATTAATATTCACAGCAATCATATAGATTATACCAAGTTTATGAAGAAACCATTATTGAAATCTTGAAAATATATGGAGGTGTATTATGAACATTGCCTGTTATTTTCTCTCTCACAAATTACATTGACATTTTCAAGTTAGTTTTGAATCTAGCGGTTGTGAGAATTATTTTAGAACTGACCTTTTAGATTACATGAGGCATACAAAAGGAGCCTGCAGTGGGTGTGTCCATGAATTATTTCCCATAATCATAAGCAGGGGTTCTCAGACCACTAGACTACTGTCACTAGGGAGTGATGCATCACAGCAAAGCCTGGATGAAAAACATGTAAGCAATGAGTAGGTAGGGTGTGCACTTCTGTGTGCCGATTGACTTCAGTATAGCTTGAAACACCTCACTTAGACAGGATAAAGTGACCGTGTCTCTGTAAAGTCCACAAGCCTTCCACTTTAGATTGCACTCGCCAGTGCCCCCTTCTGCACACCTGTCCAACACAGCTGCCGCCAAAGTATTGTGTTTGTCATGTGACAATGCTCATCCTATGACAATGCTCGGACCTCCTTTATCATGTGACAATGCTTGGATATCGTGAGTGTCGAATAGGCAGGAAGCACTGGGAATTTTGCAGCAGTGGCCACAGAAAAAGAAACAGCAGGAGATTGCCAGAACATTACGTGTTCCCTACAGATGGCCTGTGCTTACCACAACTAACAGATGTTGTAAAAAAAATAAAAATAAACCACACAACATGGTACAAGACATGACTGCCCCGGCTGTGGCTATTTTAAGGCAGCCTTATGAAGAGAAGGACTCTCTGGAAGAGTGCTTGTTGCTCTGTAGACCCCCGTGGAGAGGAATCACACTGGGGAGAAACAATGGTGTAGGTGTCAGACTAATTTGCACAAACCATTTTACAGCTGGAGATGTAACGTGTACAGCAATGGCCTGAAGGTAACAGCAATTTACCTGTATATGTAACATACCAGGGGGGCCGAATAGCATAATTCTATCTTGGAAGGCAATGACAAGCTTTAATAAGTGTGCTTCCAACTCACTACAATCTCAGCCTCTGTTATGAAACTATGTATATTATTAATTTCTCTTCAATTGTAACAATTTTTTTGTGTTGCACTTTTCCAGGCATTTAAGAAATGTAATGTCACATTCCAACAATGCCATTCCCCTGTGGTTTATAAGGATTATTACACCCCAGCTGCTGCTGTAATATTACTTTTAGGCTAAATTCACACGGGTGACTAAAAGATGGTGGAATTGAAGTTTAGCCGCATCTAGACACATCACCACTCTGTGCTATGGCTGCATACAAACCAGGCAAATAGCTGCATTCAGATTTTTTGCAGCCAAAAACGTCATCCCTTGATGCAAACTTTTTGCATCCAGGGGCAAACAGAGCCCCTAATCACATGTAACCGCTTGGATGAGTGGCAGTACCAGCCATTGGTTTTTACAGAGTATCTGGCCGTACGGCTGTAGCTAACAGCATGTGCATGGGGTAAAGCTTCTCTGCTGGCCAACTGAGTAGCTAATAGTCTGGGACCACCAGTATGGATGTAGCCCAAATGGGTCTATTTATATACATGTGGCTGTATAATCTGCCCTGTGCTGTGGTTTTAAAAAGATACAGCATGCTACCGTGGTGAAAAAAGACACGCAGGCAACTGTTAAAGCATGTTCTATGTGTTTTGAATGATGAAGCTGTGACAGTATTACTGACAGTATTCTTGGAAACCACAAAATGCAATGTTAACACAGGTCACTGCATCCAAAAAAACACATGGCACACTTTGACCAAAAAAAAAAGGATTGGTATTCATACATGTAGCATAGCATACCTGCCAAGTTATTTAGGTTTTCACAGATTTATTGCTTTAGTGCACCAGTCCATCACACTTTCATTGGTGATAGTTTGTCAGTCTTGGAACACACTTATTTGTGATGCTAGAAAACTCTCCTTGCTGCTTATACAGACAGCCAGTGCCAGTGTTAAGATGTTCCACAGCCACCTTTCAGAATCAAACCTTTGAAAGTCATTGGTGATGCAAGAAGCAAGTCCCCTTCTATTGACCACATTAGGTTCTATGTGTTTGCTGTGGATTCGGGCAACTACAGACAACTCAAATTTAGGTACAATAAAGAATATTTTCTGACTTGCTGCTGATAATATGCATGTGAAGTTCACAGATTGGGTTCAATTGTTGCTTCAAATTGACAAAATGCCATGCCTAAAGGGCACAGTAACACGCACTAAAATGTCTAAGCTCACTCAGCTTACCAGTATTATTTTGTCTTTTCTGAACCCATATGACCAATAATTACAGACTGATCATTAGTTGTACACTGTCATAATATCGTAAACCATTCTCACATAAAAACATAAGAAAACAAAATCAGCCCACAAGGCTTGCTTACTTTATAAAAGGAACCCAAAATGATTAAAGTCCACGTTCAAATCATTTAAAGGGGAGTTCATGTGTCACAATGTTTCGTGCTGTCATTTCTCCGCTTGTCAATCAAATGATGGTAATTATAGTAAAGGAGACTATCACTATGCCTGCCTTTGGACCAAAACTTCAGGAAGTTGCATGGTTCTGAACTTGTCTCATAACTGCTCCCAAAAATTTTATAATAATTCCCCAATAACGAGCAGAGTAGTACAATTTATTAAATGGCTGAGAAGACTACCGAGCCCCTCTCATTTGAATGCAGTTGCCTAAAACGCATATTTCCTGTTTTAATGACAGCAGTCTCAGTCCACGCTCATGTCCTATGCCCAGCTGTCAAACTGAGGATGACAAGCAGTTAGTAAGTATCATGTAGAGCCTTCAACAGGTCATAAGCTAACATACACTGCTACAAGAGTGCAAAAAGGAAAAGCATGCAAAGCAGAATATGCATTTGTCCCTATTTCAGCATCTGATGAAAGAAATTGTGGTCGGGCATATATACCGTATAATATAGTGTGGGCTGAGTTGTGCCAGTAAGCTAATGTGACCTGAGGTGTGCCCGTGGCCACGCTGTTAGGTATGCCTAAAAGGTGGCCATACCAAATGAAAAGGTGATAGAATTGTAAGTTATAAAGAGGGATGGGTGGGTGAGGACAAACGCTTCCCCTACAATGTCGGGAAGGGAAGTCATGGCCAAAATATTGGCACCCCTGCATTTCTGTCAGATAATGCACCACTTGGTGAAGACAATTGTTGCTATTGCTTAGACATTCTCAGGTGTATTTATTTTGTTTCTATTGGTGTGACACAAAAAAAAAAATCTGACACATTCCACGCAAAACTACAAAAATGGACTGGACACAATTATTGCCACCCTCCATTGATACTTGGTAGCACGGCCCTTGGAAAAAATTAGGGATGCACAGATACTTTGAGTACCATTGCAGATACTTGGCATTTTCATGAGATCTACCAGGGTTGCAGCGCTTGCAGCTGGGACCTGGCTCTGGCACTCCACCACTGTCCTGAAATCATTAGTCTGCATTGTTTTAGAAAAACTGTCACATGACAATAAACAAAAATGTATCAGTACTCGTACTTGTAAGTACTCGGCAAGTACCAGTACTCGTACTCGCAAAACTGGTATCTGTGCATCCCTTTATTTATATTTATAAAAACAAAATCGTACATTAAAACAGAGATGTACAAATCCCAGGAGCTCTGTGTGCTCCTTACAAATGACAGCTGCCTCCTACTTTTTGAATTTTTCTCTAGTCTAGTCTTGGAGCTCAAAAGTATCGGTACATGTACTCGTACTTGTACCGAGTACTGTACTTGGTATCTGTGCAACCCTAGAAAAAATTACTGAAATGAATCCCTTCCTGTAACCATCAATGAGTGTCTTACATCTCTCTACAGGAATTTTGGACCACTCTTCTTTCACCAACTGCTCCAGGTCTCTCAGCTTGGAAGGGTTCCTTTTCCCAACTGCTGTTTTGAGATCTCTCCACAGGTGCTCTATGGGATTCAGATCGGGAATCATTGCTGGCCAGTCTGGTACTCTCCAGCACTTTGTCTGAAACCATTTCTAGGTGCTTCAGTAGAATGATGGGCTTTACCAAAAAGCTGTAATCTTGTTTTGTCTGTCCACAGCACATTCTCACAAAAGGATTTTGGCTTCCTCCGGTAAGTTTTGGCAAACTCCAATCTGGCTTTTTGATGTTTCTGTGTCAGCAGTGGGGTCCACCTGGGTCTCCTACCATAGCGTCCTTTTTCATTCAGATGGCGGCATATAGTGCAAGCTGACACTGTTGTGCCCTGTGCCTGAGGGTCAGCTTGAATTTGTCTGGAAGTAGATCGAGGGTCTTTATCCACCATTCAAATAATCCTTATTGCAATCTTTGATCAATTGTTCTCTTTCGTCCCCAGAGATTAGCTACAGTCCCATTAGCTGTAAACTTCTTGACAATGTTGCGCTCAGTGGACACAGGAACATTAACATCTCTGGAGATGGACTTGTAACCTTCAGATTGTCCATGCTTTTCCAGAAAAACTTGCAATGTAATTTTTCCTGCAATTTGGAGAAGTTGCCAATCATTTTGTCCAGTCCATTTTTGGAGTTTTGCGTGGAATGTGCCAGATTTGGCTTTTTTTTTTCCACTTTTTTGCGTCATACCAGTACAAACAAAAGAAACACGAGAATGCCTAAATATTTGTAATTGCAACGATTTTCTGCGCTAAGTGGTACATTATCTGACAGAAATGCAGCGGTGCCAATATTTTGGGCCATGACTGCAATATATTAAAAACACAAACTTTGCAATTAAAGAACTACCAACTTTCATATAATTTGCATTATACTTAAATTGTTAATTGACTCTTAATTAAAGAGAAGAAATTAGCCGATTAGGATCAGGGCAGAAGGAAAAAAAATCCATTACATTGTATTCCCCTTATACAGCAACCTCATTACCTTCCTCAATGGCAAAGTCAACACATGCAGATGTGCAGACACAGGAGGAGGACCCAGGGACTGAGGCTGAAAGGACAAGTAAACAGACATACTCAACCTATTCAAATACGCCCTGTCTCTTTTATTAAGCAGTGTTTGCTCTACACATACTAGAGTGGCTGTTGTCTAATCTTGCAGTCTCTACCTGTGTAAAGCCTGCTTTACACAGGTAAAAGCCTGTGTAAAGGCACCTCATCCTTCAACCAGCTCAGAAAGGGTCCCGAGAACAGATTAGCAAAATGGTTTGCGTAAGTTAGATCTCACGGTGAATCAGGATGGTTTGCTATAAACAGAAGATTGGGAGGACCAGTTTAATTAATGAACTAATAAAGCTGTCCAGGAGACCTCTTACCAGTCTACTCCTGATACTGTAGCAACTATAGATGGTCCCTTCTGGTCATCAAACACAGTCCAATAGGGATTGTTAAAGAACATCTCGAGGCAAACCAAAAAACTCCCCTTGCAGTGGGGCTACCCTCGCATTGCAAGTGCTTGTTTTTGTCTAGGGGACTGGAATAAAACAGATGTACTTACCTGATCCACACTCCCCCGGCAGTCAGCGCTTACCTCTCTCTCCCTCAGCTGTGCCTTGCAGAATGTCCCTCAGCGTCCTCATGTCTAATGCAGGTCTATGGAACCTGCATTAGATGTGATGTCAGCGTCCTTAGAACCACCAGAGTGAATGGAACAAGCAGCTGCAGGGACTGGTCTAGCAACTCGGAGAGAGCTGGCAGGAGCAGGGATCAGGTAAGTAAAAGTGCTTTACTTCAGTTCCCTCGACAAAAATGAGCGCTTAACCTTTGCAATGTGCAGGTAGCCCCACTGCAAAGGTAATCTTTTGGTTAGCCCGGAGATGGGCTTTAATGGCTGTAATGCGAGAATCCCCGCTCACTGTGATGGCGGTATTTTTACTTGTTGGGTGCTGTCATAGTAAAGTTGGCCATACACCTATAGATTATCTGCAGATTCTTCCATCTACTCTAAGCTGTGTGGATGGAGGAATCTCCCACTGGGCCAAGCTTCAGTATCTTGCTAGTCGCCCCCGCTGGCTGTCATAATACCTGAGCAATCTGATTGGATGCAGGCATTATTCAGGTCTTTTGAGAGCCAGTGGGGCCCACTAGCAAGATACTGAAGCTTGGCGATGGAGATTCCTCCATCCACACAGTTTAGCGTACGTGGAGGAATCTGTTGCACTTTTTCCATCGAACCATAGAAAATCTGCAGAAAATCTTTAGATACATGGCCAGCCTAAGAGTATATTACTTCAAAAGGGCTGTGACGTCACACAAGATGTTATCGATAAAAGCTTTGTACAAGTTTATGATACATGATGCTCAGACTAAGGCTGGACATACAAAAATCTACCAGTGTATGAGCGTTCATATGAAAAATGTCATCAGAACATTCAATAATGCCATCAGAGACTTGTAGACGGCTATTCCAAATGTTGTTTGATTTTAATTTGAGCCTAAATTGTGGCGTTTCTCAAAGGGAAAACCACATTCGCTGTTAGAATTTTCCATCCTGCTCCTTACATTTTTTTTATCACTATGGTTGAAAGCAATTGTCAGTTTGACACCATTAAATATTAGAAAATCAAACAAACCCAAAAACAATTTTTTTAAATAAATTCTACCGAATTTAGCTCAATATAAACTAAAAGTTACTATTGCACAAGCTGCCTTTGACATAGCAGTTTTGTCCATGGGTTTGGGACTGCAGATCTTTACACTGTACTACAAGTTGTCACAGAATACATTGCAATAAACTGGTAAAACCTGCAATAGTTGCAGAATTTTACCCCAGTGTGAGCATGAACGGTCCACATAGGAATGTATGGGATCGTTCATGTTGGCGGTTTATCGTGAACGGATCCACGCAACCGAACCCCCCTGGTGTGAACGTGGCCTTAGGCTGTTTCTCTTAAGAGTTTTACCTGGTAATCCGGCAGACACACTTCTAGTCCCTGGGTGGCTACGTTGACTTGTCCACTGCACCTATGAAGGGAGCCATTGTAGCCACCTTGGCTAGACGTTAGACATGTCTGCCACAGTGCATTCCCATTACATGGATGGCTGATGGGCTAACTAGTTTACACAAGATAGAGGAGATTGTTTTTCCTTCCAGTTTAGCTTACAGGAAGTGTCAAGAACAAGGACTAGGACTCTGCATTCCTGGCAAGATTAACAGGTATTTTCTGTACTTTAAAAAGTGCTTAGCCTAAAAGCCACCACATTCAAGGACTAGCAAGCTGCAATATATTATGTTTTTGTTGTTGGTTTTAGTTATGTTTGAAAGGTCTTTCAGCTTTCAGGAATGGGAGTAACAGCGAAGCAAGCGGCCATAGTGTTTAGTCTGGCACTTGGAAAGCAATTAGTAAGTGTTTAGAAAGTGGTCAGAACGTGTCTGATGAGCATTGCAAATAATAGCAACAGCACCGAATACAGGAATAATTAGGAAATCTAATCCAAGCTTTCTATACACTAAATAAAGCCTATGGTGGCGACTGGAACACAAATGGATATAAGCCGCTGACCACAATGAAACTCTGCATGGGGTGTCCCAGTAGCTGCGTGCAAATGGGTCACTTATTAACTCCATGCATAAGCTGTATCCCATTAGTATGCAATTCAAAAATTCAAACTTGTGCAGTGAATGGTTGGCAAGCGGTTGAGCCACACGCTCACTACAAACATTATACTGTATAGAAGAATACCCAGCTTAGCAGCTTTAAAAGGATAACAATAATTCTGACAACAATTCGGGCTTTAAATGTAATAATAATTATATATTATTATTATATTGCTGTCTGCATCCTTCTTAGAGACATTTGCATTATCCCAGCACCGACAGGGGGTCAGAGGGAGAGGAAGTAATTGGACATCTCTCCAATGGGGCATCATGAGTAAGACCAAACACTAGCGCGTTAAAAAAGAAAAAAGAAAAAAGAAAAAAAAAGCAGAAGCTAGTAGTATGTTCCTCTAGGCTCCACATTGCCTGTGTGTCAACAAGAGACGCCTGTGTTTGTTTACAGCACATAATGACATTTTACACATTAAAATGAGAAAGTCCTATAAAGCAGGCTCTCAGGGAGACTTTCCACGCCTCTGTGCTCTGTAAAAGGAATGGAATCCGTTCATTGTGGGCAGCGGTGTAAAAGGTACTTGTCATTAGATGATGGTCTTTTGATTGTGCAAATAAATATCTAATTGCTTATGTGGGGGAGACAGCAGAAAGGTAGAGAACCTTGGCAAACCAAGGTTTTTTCATTTCTTTAGTTCCTTCTCACTATAACCTGTATGGTTATACCAGCTCATTGGGTCCCAGCCCAACTCCACAGAAGCCCTGGCTCCCATGCACAGCACTGACGATGGCCAAAAGCACAAAATAGATGTATGCAGTTTGGAATAAATGACTCTTTAATGTTAGGCTATATTTGACCTATACACCAGTGGTTCTAAATGTGCATCTAGCTGATGGCATATACAATTATTTTTATGGCTCTGTCCACTGTTGCTAAATGTAGAATAATCCTCTATACATACACTGTAAGTGCAAAAAAAAATAAAACAAATTTCAGGACAGTCAGTGTCACATAAAATGAAAACCTAAAATCGTATTTTCCACCATCAACTACAAATTAATAGAAGGCTTAAATTATATTAATGCAAATTTGTCACATATGAATACAGGCCCTTTAAGTCCCTTGAAAGAGAAACATGGTAAAAAAAAGTGCTTAGTCATAAATCAGTTTCCAGAGTATATATAGTTTTGTTTGTCTGCTGTGAGCACTGTAATGTACTGTCAGCCATCAGTCATGAACAGCTAACATAACAGGATAGTGATGGTCAGCACCATATGTGGAGCTGTGATATCCGAGCGCCAGACGATGGTCCACGTGAGTAAAATCAAAATCTGTGTCCTCGCATACATAGTAGGGTGCATTGTTGTGTGGTGCCACCACAGCCTGCCAACCGCACAGCCTCCTCTTATTGTTCTGTCCAAGGCCATTTCCCATTTACAATGGAGATCGTGCAGTAGCCAAGAATACAGAATGAACTGTGTCCCTAACTGGATGTGGGGCATGCCAAGTTGAGGAATGGCACACTGCCGCCAGCTCGGCTTGTGTTATGTTGACACTATCAAGGAGCCGACACTGCCAAGAAACCAACGATCAGATGGTGAAGAAGGGAAAATGGGGACAGCAAAACTCTATCTCATGCAGCTTAAGAGGACACTCCTGTCAAACAGGAAATATCTGCTTTCAAACTACTGCAGAGGACACAATGTGGCTGCCAAGTGGCTCTAATATTCATCCCGACCTTCCCCTTTCGGACCGATCGGACCTGATCACTCTTGTTGACTACATTTTTATCTTCGAAAGTGACCAGAATCTGAGAGGCTAAAGCTGCGCATACATGAGACAATTTAAACAAATGGTGTTAGTGAGGGCGGCTGGAAGCTGTATGAGGTGATTTATTGCAGTCTGAAGTCCAGCAGTCCTTCCCTCCCCCCATCTCTCCTAACTGAAACGCCGTACCTCCGTACAAACTCTGCCTGGGAAAGAATGTGCAGAAGCCTGAACTTTGCAGCTGTGATCGAGTGATCACAATTGCAATGCTTTCCAGGCTTGAATGCAAATATTAACTAAATGCATTTTTTGTATACATTATGAATTATGCATTTCTTTAATTTTTGCAAAAGGTGAACTTATCCTTTAATGTATGACAATTACCTTCTATCATATTAGCACCCGGTTGCTTGAAAGTAATACAAATTGGCACATGGTCAACTTAAGTGTTCCCTGGTTCCAGCCCCACCCCCTAAAGTACTTAAAGGGTGAGGACACATAATACAGAATAGATGCTAACGAACACTAGAGTTTGAGAGCGACGGACATACATTAGTGTGATAAAAAGTGTCACATAAACCATAATGTGGTCAAAGGAATACACTTTAGGGTATGTGGCTAAATCCTTTTAGTTGTATCACTGTAT